GGGGGGGCGCTGGTGGATGTAACTCAGTGGTAAAGTCCTCCTGGGTGAAATCCCTAGTACCCATCCCATAAATAAATAAATAAATAAATAAATAAATAGCTATTTCATTAAAAATAAAAGCCAAATTCTTTAAGGTGCAAATGATGCCCCACTAGATCTTGTTGCACATTACCTCTCTGACCTTATATCCCACTTCTCTAAAGCACTCTGCTCTAGTTGCAAAGATCCTTTGTTCAAACCAGGTACCAGGAAGAGATTAGGATGATGAGAGACAACTGAATCTTCCAAGGACAAAGTTGAAGACTATCTTCACTTAAAATTCTGTATATTAATTTTAATTTTTGATAATATTGCATTAAAATATCATTTGTCTTGATTACTGAATTTTTTGGCACTCCATCAAATTTTGTACCCAAAGCAAGCAATAGCTTACTTTACCCTATTTCTAGTCTGCTAAGTAGCTTTCACTTCTAACATGGCTGTTACTTCTACTTGGCCTGTTCTTTTTGTAGTACTGTTTCACATTCTTCAAGTCTTTGTTCAAATTTCTAACCTAACCACTTCTGTTTAATAGTGACTTTCTATTACCTCCATTTGATCAATTTTGGCGTTTAATAGATACTTCCTATACTTCCATTTGATCTATTTCTTTTTCCATGGATATATCACATTCTGGTTCATTTGAAGTTATTATATTTGTGGTTTATAGACTATTTTCCTCTCACCCTCAACTACAACATAAGCTTCCTGTTCTAGAATAGGCTTGGCACATGGCAGTCCTCAATCAATAATTGTTCAAAGAAAGAATGTATCAAAAGGAAGTGAATCTCAATTTGTACCTTCTTAACATTTTGTACATTTGCCATTAGTTCAATGGAACACAAAATTTTATTACAATATTGAAATACCCAATCTTTACATAAAAGAACACCCCTGTCCCTTTTAACAAGAAATGCAGTCCAGCAGAAGAAAGGAACTTTCCTATTTTTAATATTTATTTATTTATTTATTTTTCTGTGGTGCTAACAATCGAACCCAGTGCCTCACACGTGCAAGGCAAGTGCTCTACCACTGAGCTACAGCCCCAGCCCTCAAAGAACCTTAATAGTGACATAAACAGGTATGTCAGTGTATTCATGATTATTAAAATTTGTTTTGTTGTTGACTTCTGTAATTTATGTTGACAGGCTATTTCCTCAGCCAATGCTGCTAACTCTCTAATTTGTTTCTTTCTCTTCATTTCCATAGCATACTATTGATCTACTCTCTTGTGCTGTGAGAACTGGATAAAAATAAATTACAAACCAGGAATAACAAGAGGGAAACCATTCACACTCAGATCTTCACCCTGTGGTGTAATCTGAATTGAATGAGATCTGCAAAACCATTCTAGAACTGCCACTGCCTGTGATCAGGCCCTGGCCAGATGTGCTCTTTTCATCATTCTGAAACAGTAAACAGTGTTTCTCCACTTTCTTTATTGCTCCCCTACCCCAGGAGCTATTTCAGATTTTTTCCTTTTGGTCTCCACCACCCATGATATTGTAATATAAATGGATCACTGTAAATCTGTCTGGGCTTTATAACATAACAATAGTGAATTTAAGAATGCATGAATCAGGGCTGGGGTTGTAGCTCAGGACAAGAGCACTTAACATGGCAATTTGAGAGGTCCTGGGTTTAATCCCC